ATTTGGTAACTGCCCTTGTAATGATTACTTACCTACAGTTAAGCGGTACTCAATCACGTGGCACATCTGTTAAATAATCTTTGTCGTCCACTCTGTGCGACATAATCTCTGACCTTTGTATATAAACAATAATGCATTTGTAAGTCGTATTCAACATCAAAACAGTCTGAAGTAAACTCATACCTGTGAACACGTTTATTCATTTTACCGACCCTTCGTATAAATTGAGTCAGATAGTCAAGTTATCAATAAGTTAAATATCAAACTAAAAATACTAATAAATGAATACCCTAAATACGGTTAAAGTGGTGATCCCATACAACATACTGTAAAACTTGATGAGGCTGCCAGACTATTTTAATATTTCAGCACGCATTTTAATTTTAGCTTATTAGTTACTAGCTTTTTATTGTAAATGTTTTTAAAATTTTACTTTGTTTTCATGAATTTCGCATAAGCATAAAAAGAAACATTTGGAAAGATACAATACAGTATTATGTATTACCTTGTTTTTATCAATAAAAAATGTTTGACAAAAACCCAGCAAAAATCCTGATTCAGAGTTTTATATTCGGTTTTTAACTTCGATATAGTGTTGCTCCCGAATATACTCCCAAAAAACAGCTTAGCCGATTATTTTGATGAAAAGCCAAACCTCTAGTATTTTAGTCTTATTATAACACATTTTTATTATTAACCTATGTAGACTGTGATGCCGATTCGAAAACTTGAAGCTATTCTAGATAAGCGCAAGTTTGTAAGAATCAACAACTGACGCTGGATCTTCAAAACCAATAATTAACACAAGTCTGGAAACTAAATGCAAAAGTTAAGTTTCCAAAAAGAATGATCTATCACCGACTTTTAAATCCGTTCAAAACTTTTCGCACCTACTACCGCAACTTAAAAATATAAAAAACCAAAATCATGTATAAAAATAATGAATACCAAGAAAGCAAAAGGCGGATGTGAGAGAATGACTTTTTATCGTAGACCTTACTCCAACATATATCCTCGAGCTGAATCTTTTGCAGAGATTAAGCTGTCCATTGGTTATCGCTATCATACATAATATAGCTATCGCTATAAAATACATTTCTTGTTTCAATCTTTTTAAGAGCGTGATTGAGCTATAGTCGGGTTTTAGTTTTTGAACTTGATTTATTATTTTTAATGTGGTGATGTTGCTGGAGTGCTTGATATTGAAAACTTGGAAAAAAATTGTTGGTCAATAATCACGCAGCTCTTTTCCTCTACAAGGTATAATTATGTCATGTTTTTCTCGAAAAGATGACTTAAACAGATAAGTGTGAATGTATCTTGTAGTTTGATATGGAATAAAGTTAGATCAGATGTTTCTATTTGCCACTGGTTGTATCAGCCTATCTTGTGTAATAAAATTAGTTTTTCATTCAAAATTACATTGTTTTCGAGGAAAAAAGCATAATAACAATTCAAAAATGCCCCATATAACACCATAACTCAAAATTGAGCAAACCTGTCCATAGTGGACCGGGAGAGCGATTTGTTTGCTTGTAGTTTTCTCCAATTTCCAATTTTGCATCATTTGTCTATGTGTTTTTCTCATGCGCACTTATCGTCGATTGTTAGCCCAAAAAATCTGAGTCCATCTATATCTTTAATGTACTGACACATTTTTATTAATAAATTGGATGCCTTTCATTTCCTCTACATTTACAGTTAGGTTATTATGTTTTAGCCAATTTATAATAAGATCTATCATTGTGCTCATTTCTTGGTTTTAGACATCTAAATGAAAACATGGGACAACAACCATCCGCATATGTAACCTCTGGGAGGTCATTGATGTAAATTAAAAAAGTAATGGCCTCAGAATATTTATATGGTTATAAAATCATATCTTTCTGCTACAATTAAAAAAGTTCTAATTAATGAAGCGAAATCTGTAGGGCCATCCATCACTGTGTGCGTGCCTCAGGGACCAATGGACCATTGCTTTTTCTAATTTACGGTAATGATCTTCCCTTCACTATTTATATGTTTTGACGATGTAAATAGTGCTCTGTCTCATGTTCTATATTGGTTTGATGATAATAATTTAAAGCTCGATTCAAATAAAAGGAAATGCATAAATTTAACATTAGATACCTAATCTGAGGCAGGTTAGTGGAATCGGCGAAGTTTCTTGGTATAACGCTAGATTCCAGACTTTTGCTATTAAGAAAATCAGATTTGACAGATATGAATTGGAAATTTTAGTTATTTTCATAGTCCAAAGTTGTATGACCTATTGTCGTGAGGTTCTGCTGCTAATCACTACATAGTATAAAACAAAGTCGCTTTCTCTGTCTGTATGTATGCTTAAATCTTTAAAACTACGCAACAGATTTTGATGCGGCTTTTTTTTCATAGATAGGGTGATTCAAAAGAAAGGTTTTTATGTATAATACAAGACCACGCGGCCGAAGCCGCTGGTGGAAAGCTAGTATCCAATATACGAGTACTTTTATACTATAAATAAAACTGTCTAGAGGATTTCTTAGAGAAATATTAAAAGAAATCAATATTTGTCTGTTGTTTTCAATACATATATGTACGTGAGAAAAGAAAAGTGATACGTTTTTTTTTTAAAAAAGTAGTATTCATAATTTTACCACAAGAAAAAAATAAACTTGGCATTTCAAGCTTCGAACTTTAAAAGAAGAGAGGATATATTCTGGATAAATACATTCTTATGTTCAATAAAGTTTTACAAAATGTAATATATCTACCGTAAATAAAAAAATATGTAAAGAACATACTTATGCATGAGTAAAGGAATAAAGTTGATGATTATTTTTAGAACCATTGCCATGGAATTAATAACATACGCTATGTTATAGTCGGTCAGTTAATTATAATCTACGCATATTATATCATACAGACATCGATAATTGTTTTTATTATTGTTGAAATGTAAGTCATATTTTTGTTATAACATAATTGATACTTTCTAAAGAAAATGTCTTTACATCTAATTAAGAGCTTGTAAGTTTATTTGGCTTGTTCTTCTTGTCAGCCAAAAGACGTCCCGTACGAGTGGTAAGGAAAATTTTTAGGACTATTCAAAAATCCTTGTAATAATAAGATTATTCGAATAATTAATTTTTCATCGTCACATAACATATTTAAAATATAAAGAAGTTTTTACAAAAAATAAAGAATTACAGTTATCTTGACCTTGATATAAGTATAATGAATAACAGTTCTTGAACTAAAACTGAATTCGACTCACATTTGTTTGAAATTCGTATCGATTCGGTTAATTTACTCGAATATTTTACGCATTACGCCTTACTATTTAGTTAAAATCGCAGATATCAAGTGTGGCTTCTTACAATAACCAAACTATATACGTCATGCATATTATTAAGAAGCTTTTTAAATTAAAATATTTACAACATTTTTGATTGAAGGTCATCGTCTGATATCGATTTCAAAAACAGCCCTGCGATTCTGTAAAAATCCAGACCCAAATTCGAATTCACTCATGTGTCCGAATTCACGTCATTTAGTATAAAAATTCTATTGATTCCATTTTTTTTGTAAAAAAATACAAAATAAAATTGATCGAATACACGTGTCTCAGATATTCTATTCCTATATCATTTCGAAACTCACTTCATTTATGCTACGAAACGTTATTACCAATTCAAGGTTGAGCGTATGCCTCTTTTTGAAGTCAATTCGGACACCTGAGAGAATTCGAATTCGGGTTTGGAGATTTACAGAATCGCAGGGCTGGTATCGTATATTCAACACTGCTTAGAAAAGCTGGTTAAAAATTTGATATTGGCATGTGTCAATTTACTCTACCAATTAAATAACAGACTTTACATTTACAGTAAACTGTATACTATAAAATACAAAGAATACGAAAGCGAAAACAATATTATTGAACACTTATCATTACGCAACGTTACATAAAACTTAAGTAGGTATAAGGTATGTAGGCAAAATAAAAATTCCATCTCTGTTCCAAAACAAAATTCCGTATATCAATCCTAATAAAGATACAAAGTACTTGTTCTTCTGTTTTTTGCGTATACTATAATTTACTGCTGTTGACATCCGAGTATGCGTTTTAGATTGTACTGCCATTGCGATCGTGTATGATGAGGGAAGTGGTGAAATCTGATTTTATTCTGACTAGTAGCACTCTTAAGCCTTTGGTCCCGACAGCATCTGCAGTCATTAATACCTACCAATCCATGGCCCGTGTGGTAGGTCATGGCCCAGTCTCCCCATTAGATTTGATTCCATCCATAGGGAAGGCCTGAGCCCCCGCAGTGGGGACATTAATAGCCTGGCGACGGTGATGAGCTTAACATTATATCTCAGCTGTTTTAACTCCGGCGAAAATACAGCGTAACTTTTAAATGAACTTCAGGTAGATTTTCATGCATCGATGATAGTCGTTTTTAGGATAAAAACCGAAACCCTATTACTAACACTCTGCTGTCCGCCTGTACGTCTGGACAGTTGATATTTTCACACTATTGCACTTTAACAAAAAATAGTATAAAACCAGATGAGACTCTCGACTACGCCTGTCGAGGATAATATTTTATAAAATTAAAACAAAATCAATTTGAGGCACACATAGGCTTGCCATCCGCCTAGCTTCAGCCGAACATATTTGGCAAGTTTAGGTTGAGTCCGGCTAAACATTTATATGTACAGCTTTTGTTAGGTTAGGTTAGTTGTGACTAATAATTGTTTAACAGATAAAATGATAAAAGTCATGTCCAAAAATTATTAATTAAGAGTCATTTGGCTATTAAAAGTAGTTCAGTCCGGCTTTTAGAGCAAAGTGTCTAGACTTAAACAGCGCATTTAAGTTCAACTTACGTGCCGCGTAATATCCTCCAACTTTTATGGAACGAAGAAAGCTTTAATTACGGTTTAATGACAATTGTATTGGTTGTATGAAGTTCAATTCGTGCGCGGTAAATATCCACTGTCAGAACTAGCTGTTTTAACGCTACTTCGCCCACGTCTAAGTCGCACAAGTGACATTGGCTTAGCCTATGTATAGGTGAAAGATTTTTGAAAGTGATTTTCTTATTCCTATTTAATTTTAACAAATAATCAAATTTGTCCTCTTAATATTAAGTAGAAATTTAGATTTTAGATATTGGGCACGCTAAATTCTACAATGGAATATAGAGAAACAATTTATTTTCCTATAATGAAACAAATCAATGTAACGCGTCTAAATTTATAAGTTTATTTAGCTGTTTGTAGTCAAGGTTCTATGTTGATAGTAATGCAAATTTTTTTATTCACCAACACAGTTATAAGTTCGCGTGGCGTTTTGTACAGTAACGGCCATGCCTCAGCAGCGATACGACGACGAAATGGAATACGTTGAATATGATGGTGTTTTACAGGAAGCTGAACAGGTATTTATATGTCGGAATATTTCTTTTATCCGCAAACCTAGTGGTTAGTGAAAATTTCCCCGCAAATCCCTGAGCTACAAAGTGACTCATACGAGTATATTTATCAATTCTGAAAAGACTAGGAGGAGGTAAAATTATGGGGAAATAGTGAACTTTGGGGATGGTGATTTTATTGCTATCGAGAAAATTTTATAAAGTCAAGTTTTCGTTGTGATAGAATTCGTACAAATATCCCATACCAACAGCCTGAGACATTTTCAGAAACACTAGTGTTCCCCTAGTCAAAAGGTTGATGATAATGAACAGTATTTAGTATGTAATCTGAAAGTGCTGCTATACCTTTGAAACTGCCGTAAATAGCTGTGCTATTCTGTTATAAAACAACCTCGAACTCGACGACAAGAACAACGCTGACACGTCTTAAGGGTTCAATCAAATAAATCTACTTGTAAAAGTAATAAAGGTGATTTATTTCATTGAAGATCTATACATAGGGTTCTCAGCTAAAAAAAAATTAATCTCGTAGAAAATTCCTGACATTTGGTGAAAATTCCGGACTGTCTCGTAAATATATATCTAATATCGTATAACTAAAATGCCAATGTTGGAACGGTCTTTTGGGAACGCAATGGTCAAAGGAAAGAAACAGGCTTTCTGTGGAGTCTGTCAAGTCGATCTATCCCTTATTTGGAAAGAATCCGGATGCATTTCGAATCCTCTCGCATCGCGGACTAAGATCTATGTTTCCGGACTTGTTTGGTAAATTCCGGATATATGGCAACCCTATCTATACACAGCACTGATTTCGTCGTCGTGTTCCGTTTTTTAACAGGATAGTATAACAATGCCTCAGATTCCGTCAATTTTCAGATAATCAGACAATGTTTCAAACAATTCCGGTTAGAAGAGGTGTTCCTATCGTTCAATGGCGGCAAAGATTGCACAGCCTTATTAGACATAACGATTAATGTACTCACTGAAAATTATAGTACCGAAGACGTAAAAAACAATATAAAAGTGGTATATATCAGAACAAAACATCCTTTTAGGGAGATAGAAGAGTTTGTCGAGGAAATACAGTCTCACTATGGGATAACATTAACGATGGTTGAAGGTGAACTGAAGACTACCCTCCAGAATGTTCTAGAACAGGACGGAACGCTAAAAGCTTGTCTAATGGGCACAAGAAGAACGGACCCTTACAGCAGTGATCTGGAGTTTATGCAGGTATTATTTTTTAACTATTTCGAAACTAACTTAATTTCAGACCAATATCTATACTACCAGCGCTAAGTAAAGTATTCGAGAAAATTGTCTATAATCAACTACTTGCATACTTTTCGTTAAATTAATTACTTCACAAAAATCAGTTTCGTTTTAGCAGAGGTAAATGTACCAAAGACGCTGGAATTGCACTTCTGAGACATATCTATGATGCTTGGGAGAATAAACAAGATGCTATCGGCATTTTTTGCGATCTGCTAAAAGCATTCGACTGCGTTAGTCATGAAACATTGTTGGTTAAATTAGAGCATTATGGTGTGAGGAAAAATTCACTTAATCTAATAAAATCATATCTTTCTGCTAGATTTCAAAAAGTAGTAATTAATGAAGCGAAATCATCAAGGGCACCCATTACTATGGGCGTACCTCAGGGATCGGTATTAGGACCATTGCTTTTTCTTATTTACATTAATGATCTTCTTCACTTTACGAAGAATTTTAGCGAGACAGTATTATTTGCTGATGACACCTCTTTAGTGTTTAAAGTTAAGAGGGGTAATGATTGTTTTGACGATGTAAATGATGCTCTCGACAAAGTTCTACAGTGGTTTGATAATAATATTTTAAAGCTTAATTCAAATAAAACGAAATGCTTAAATTTTGCATTACCTAATGTGAGGCTTGTTAGTACACTTATAAATGTAAAAAGGTGAGTTCGTGAAATCGACAAAGTTCCTTGGTATTACACTAGATTCCTGACTGCAATGGGATCCTCATATTGATAACTTGTCAAGTAGACTAAGTTCTGTAGCATTTGCTGTTAAGAAAATTAGACTCTTGAATAATGTTGAAACGGCAAGATGTATATTTTAGTTATTTTCATAGTGTCTATTGTTGTGGGGTTCTGCGGCTAGCATTCAAGATATTTTGTATATTTGATAAAGAGAGCTGCCCGCGCTATATATAATTTACGGTCTAGGGAATCTCTCAGAGAAATATTTAAAGAAATAAATATTTTGACTGTTGCCTCAAAACATCTATGAAAATATTATGTACGCAAGAAAACATTACGATTCCTTCACAAAAAAAAGTAGTGTTCATAATCTTAACACAAGATATAAAAATAAACTTGCCGTTCCAAGCTTCAGACTTCAGAAAACCAGAGGGTCATTTCTGGGTCAATGCATAGCTATGTTCAATAAAGTTTCACAAAATGTAACTGACCTACCCATAAATAAATTTAAAATTCATATAAAGAACATACTTATGAGTAAAGGCTATTATAAAGTTGATGATTATTTTAAGGACCGCAATGCATGGAATTAGTAGCCCTCTCTTTATTCTATAACGACTAATTATATGTACAAACTATGACCTACAGACTTTGAAAGTTGTGTTTATTATTGTTATAATACATATTATTTTGGTAATGACATGATTGAATGACAAGAGCTGGTAAGTTTCTTTCGCTTGTTCTTCTTGTCAGCTAAAAGACATCCTGAACAAGTGGTAGGGAAAAAAAATTTTTGGACGATTCCAAAGTGCTTGTAACAAGCTTACTTGAATAAAGATATTTTCATTTCATTTCAAACGGAGATTATTTAGAGGTTTTAAAATTTTGGTCACCCATCCGATAATTGGCCTATGTGAAAGTTGCTTAACTTCTTAAACTTAAACAAAAAATGTACCACAAAACTTGACCGCCTATTTGCACCCCATTAGAGGATATATTTTCATAAATGACAAATAAGTTATTTTCAGAAACAATCCACAGGTTTTGTAGTTGCTTTTTTGTTAAGCGTAGCGTATATGGTAAAATAAACACTAGGACAAATAATCTCAGAAAATATAATTGATATTTTCTGAGATTATTTGCCCTAGTGTTTATTTGTAGCTACATATCAATTTTTATCGATTTGCCTCTAAAACTGACGCGATTTTCATAGAAACATACCCCCCCCCTCGGTAGCTCGGTGGCGTTGTGGATAAGCGCCCGCGATCGTAGTAGTTAAGCAACTTTCGCAAGGGTCAGTCACGGGGTGGGTGACCAAAAATTATTGTCTCGAGCTACTCCGTGCTTCGGAAGGCACGTTAAGCCGTTGGTCCCGGCTGCATTTGCAGTCGTTAATATCCTCCAATCCGCATTGGGCCAGCGTGGAGGGTCATGGCCCATCCTCCTTAACCATCCATAAGGAAGGCCTGAGCCCCTGCAGTGGGGACGTAAAAGGGCTGGTGATGATGATGATGATGATACCCCCCCCCCCCTTCTTATTTTTTATCGAAATGGGCTAATAATAAAACCCAGGCGCGTGATTCGCCCGATGGCGATAAATCATTCTGATTGGCCGAATATTGTTGCGCTTCGAAAAACCTTTTATGCAGCTACATCAATTGTATTTTAATGACAATTGTGACATATGTAATGATTTTTTTTTATTTTTATTGGCAGAAAACAGATTCGAACTGGCCTCAACTGATTCGTGTGTCACCTATATTGAACTGGTCTTACCACCAGATATGGAGTTACATCCTCAAACGGAAAGTGCCTTATTGCAGTCTCTACGATAAAGGGTAATTATTTAGTATTTTAAGTAAATTTTGGTTAATTATTATTTTTATATAATTTATATTATGTCATCCATATAATAATTATTTAAGATATTAAATAAGAAATAAAAGTTACCTTAAACCCCTGATAGTAAACGCTTTGACTTGACCAGATGTATCAACATTATCAGTCTGTTAATGCTGGGGCTTTTTTCCAAAAAAGAAACGAAGAACGGGATAAACTATAACCTAACATCAAGGCCCAGTACGGATTTGTAGGTTCAAATGATTACAGATTAAGACCAACGGCTTGACATACCTAGCTAAACAAAAAAATTTAAGGTCACCTATCTAACGCGATAACAACTGCTCAATTTAAATATCCGTATCGGATTTACCAGATCAAATACTGCAATGCTATAAAAGTTTGTTAATATTCAGGTACACATCAATAGGCAGTTCCCATAATACTTGGCCTAACCCAGCACTAGCGTACAAAGACAGAAATGGTATACTCTCGTACTTGCCGGCGTGGCGGTTATCCGATGCCGCGTTAGAACGAGCCGGCAGAACACCACCCTCTACCAAAACTACCAATGGAATCGTAGCTAATGGAGAAAACGGACACTGCCACTGTTCTCATAGTGTTGGTGATACATTTTAGTTGGGCATACATTCTGTCAATATACAGCCAAGGAACTCGATAATCTATAATTTACACACAAAGTCCATTAAAAGTTCCTGCTGAATGAGATATGTTTCTATAAACAGGGATAAAGCGCAAAAAAATAATCGACTTTATGTGGTAAACCAAAAGTTCCTCCAAGTATATAGGGGTAATTATACTGTGATGTTTTTGAACCACTAAAATTATAACTTATCTATTTATAATAAATTAAATTGAAAATTAATACTAATTCAAATATAATTTTATTCAGCTATTTAAAATCAATCAAGTACCTGATTTGCTTTTCCATCAAAAGTAATAAGCATATTTTCGAAAATAGGCTTCAAATCATAATCCTCGAGTCGAATGGATGAAATGTTGTACAAAATTTACTACTTACTTATTAAAAACAAGGTACTTACTCTGTATAATTTATTGTCTACTTAATTGTAATACTAGTACTTATTTATTTGTCTATAATTTTGGTTGTATAAAAACAATTTTGATATTTTTGTTAAATATATAGTTTGTTCCTAGGGTTGTAAGAAAACGATATATATCGCTATCCATATACCTCTGTATCGTTTCCACATAATACTGCCTAATGTTATACGGAGTGGGATTAGCAACATGTATCGTCCCGTACAACAAAACTCGGTATTAAGCGACAACTATACAAGAACTGTTGATTGCGATACGTATCGTTTTCTGTTGATACTCATACTTTGTATTTTCCTATGAACAGACCACACTTGGTCAATTTACATAACATAAGAAATAAGGATTGATGCCGCCTTCTAAATTTAATATGAACATTGTAAAAAATACTTTGTAACCCGGCAAGCAATTTCAGAAGGAGTATGCAGGCCAATAGGGATGACGACTGCGTAAAAAAAAGAAATTCTATTTAGTCCGTCAGTCACATAATAGAAAAATATTAAATTTTTTTTTTTTACTTCAATTTAACAAAAAATATTTTAGATAACAGGCATTCGAGTGTGGGCTCGCTACGTCACAGTTTTGTAGAAAATGTACAAAAGCGTGACGTCATGCAACTTTTTACTCAATGTACCGACATAATTTAATGATTATAATAGAAAAATGCAAGTAGTTTAGATTCTATTGAGCAACATCATAACATTAGCATAATAGAGATGACGACTATATTTTGTTTGTTTGTACGTCAGGTCAGGTAAATTTTCAATGCCAAGAATACTTCCTTTAGCACATCCTATTCATTATTCTAGTTTTAATGTGTTGTACTGTTGGTCTATATATTGTAGAAACAATAATAACATCTAAAGCACATTGTGTGTTTAATTACATTGTACATTGTGTGTTTTCACAAACTAAATGAAAAAAAAAACGACTAAGCTTAATATAGCTTTAAATAAAAATTACATAAACTTGAACACCAGTGAAAATCGCTTAGATTTCATTGATACTAAGCAATTAAATGAGCAATCTCAAAATAATTACCACCTATGTAACTTTATTTTAGCGTTGCTATTATTTATTATAGTGTTAATATCTTTACTCAAGTTTTCTGTCATAATATAAAATACACAATGCAAAATGTTGTTTCTATGAATCATCAAGTTGCGCTAAGGCACATCTGATCGAAAATCCGTCAAATCTGACCTTACAGTCAGATATATAACGTTTTTTAAGACGTATTACTGGAGCTTTCTGTTGCCAGTATGCAGCACCAACTCGTGTACACTGTCTCAAGAAGGAAGTCCCGCAGCATAACTCATATTCCTTTATAATAAAAGCGAAAACATTGCGATCCTAGGGACTTCTTTCGTGAGATGAACTCTATCAGTTTTTTTATAAATGTCGAACGTCATTCACAGAGTAACAAACAAAGAGTAAAGTAATAGTGAGCAGAGCATAATAGGCTTTTTTTTAAATTAAGCATAGTTAATTATAACGAGTGTAATTTTATCCCATTCTTCATTGCTGCATATTGGGATGTAAAAAGGAAGCGAAACATTCATTTCCAAAAGACAAAATGTTCGAAAATGTATGTTTGTTTATTACTTATGCCAGTGCTGCCATCTACGCAGAGCTTTGGGGAATATTCCTTGATTGTGATGATGACCATCAACATCATCTAATGACCTTTATACTTACTTGAAAAATATTTAAATTTTGATTAAGTTTAGTTAAATATACAAATTTTAGTTTATATTATTAAGAATTTTTGCGAAATATTTAAATACACTTTACAATTTATCAAAACATTTCGGCACTTTAATTTTTGTACCAATGTGTTAGTGAATATTTTTGTGAAATAAAAAAACATTTGACTCGATTTATTGTTTTATTTAAAAGTTACTATTTACAGATAATTTTTAATGGGAATGGTAGTTTTTGTGCTATGTATTGTTGCCAGTGTTGTTGGGCTTCACGTGTTTATTGATGAAGTCTTGGAACATGGCCACGTCTTGCGGTTTGTCATCTGTAATATAATAAATTTTTCATTTTCATTTTATTTAAAAAATATTATTTGGATATGCGAGTTAACACCCCATTTTTAATGTACTTGTTGATGGATTTTATCGCAATTTCTCCATTATTCATTAGAGTGGTATGTGTAAGTTTTACGATTACGTGGTCACTAGTGAACGCGTTAAGAATTTGTATGAAGATTTATAGTTCTTAGTAGTTACCGCTAGGGGCGCTTTACCCAATTTTATACTTAAATTATAACGCGCTCACCATCGACGTTGAACGTAAACGTAGAAAACATAATACACTAAGCGCTCTGATCAAACCATATATATAACTGAATATAAATAAAAGAAAACATCATACAGTGCAAAAATATAATAGTACAAAATTTACTTCACGGAGCGTAGGGAGGGGGAATGGCAAACGACGGGTGCAAAACTAGCTTTCTGCCCCGGTCTAAAAAAATTGTAGACCCGTGCCTGGCTAATGCTACCATCTGTGCTTAGCTGCCCTGCGATTCTGTAACAATCCAGACCCGAATTCGAATTCACTCATGTGTCCGAATTCTCGTCATTTAGTATAGAAATCATATTGATTCCATTTTTTGTATAAAAATACTAAACAAAATTGATTGATTAAACGTGTCTTAGAAATTTTAATCCTATATCATTTCGAAACTCACTTCACTTATTTCACGAAACATTATTACCAATTCAAGTTTGAGTGGATGCCGCTTTTTGAAGTGAATTCGGACACCCAAGTGATTTCGAAATCGGGTTTGAAGTTTTACAGAATCGCAGGGCAGAACTGAACTGATACAAAATTGATCGTCCAATGACCTAATAGGAATTGAACTAACCTATTACCGCAGCCGCTTCCTCCCCCTCTTCATCGCTGGAGCTCTCATTACAGGGATGCTTCAAGTACACATCGCTGATCTCTCGACCACCACCCACTGTCTCGATTAGACTTTTCTTGTCTAATACTGTGTCTGTGTCCATGCCCTCTGGTAATAAATTAATATAAAATAATTTTAATTAAAAACCACTGTGAATTAAACCTGTGAACACCTGTGAACAAGGTACGCCCGGAACTCAAAGCCGAGCAGTCGTATAGTAACAAGATCCTAATAATAATTTAAAATCTTGCGTCAAAAGTTCTTTTACGATAACAAAAAGTGGTCAGTTTATCCATCAATCCGAGCTTGCCAAGCAGGAAAGCTTGAAACAATCCAAAAACGTCGAAATTGTGTGAAAAAACGACTATTTTCCTGTGCTGCGAGTGCTTAGTGTGGATTTGCAACTATTGAGCTACCTTCTTTTGTTCTAACATTTTTGCTGAGACCCTGGTAGCTGCGCTATATATTGCTAATTTCAATCATTGCTTACTGAAACGTGTGGCGTCGCGAAGTCGACGCGTTACTTTTGCACACTTTCAGGATAGATAAACTCACGGTCTGCGGATCAATCCCAAGTGTTTTTTTTTTTTTTACTTTTGCTTTTTATACTTGTCATTACCGTAAATAATAATGCCAAACCAATGCGTGGCCTGCCGCAAGTTTGCGGCTATTAGAGAAACCATTAAATGTTACAAATGTTTGGGTGGTTTTCACCGTGCCTGTGTGGCTATTTCTAGTACAACAATTGTCGCACCTAATTGACTTTGTCCGGGATGTAAGGCAAAGTTACCTAAAGAAGACAATTCGACCACTCCTATTAAAGGAATGTGTACTGAGGACACACCATCTTTAAATCAGGAGCCATATCTGGATACTCAAAATCAGTCGCGTGATTTAGACTTAACAGCAGCATTAAATGGCTTGAGAGGTCAACTGGGTGTCTTGATATCGGAATTTTATGAATTCAGATCGGAAATGAAAGATATTAAGGCAGCCTGTGAACGTATTGATGACTTTGAAATACGCTTAAATAAACTTTCTAAGATGGCGTACTATGGGTTTGATATCGCTACAATAAGATGGTTTGACAGCTACCTGACTGGACGTACGCAGTATGTTGAGATAACGCAAATGAATGGTTCGAATATAACATCAAATATACGCCCCATTACCCATGGTGCTCCCCAGGGTTCAATCTTGGGGCCAGTATTATTTTTGTTATACTGCGCGGATCTGTCGGAGAGTATAAGAAATACTAAAATGCATATATACGCAGATGACACCCAAATATATATATCTTTTAAACCTGAAGATTACGAGTTGGCATTGAAGAGTCTTAATGACAATCTTGATAGAGTTGTGAAATGGACAGAGAGAAACTGTCTTGTGCTCAACCCGACAAAAACCAAATTTATGATATTTGGTACAAAAAGGCAATTGCATTCATTAAGTTATACCAACACAATGGGTGAACATATTGAGCGTGTTTACGAGGCAAGAAATCTAGGCCTTATCATGGATTCTGATCTTCGTTTTGAAAAACACATTACTCAGGCTATTCAAAACTGTTTTTATAGATTAAAAATTCTTTACAGAATGAGGCCATACATTGGGGAAGATTTGCGTATTATGCTCGTGGAATCCTTAGTTCTTTCCAAATTGAATTATGCGGATGCAGTATACCATCCCAGGCTTCTAAAACGCACGGAACGACAGATTCAACGGCTTCAAAATGCATGTGCGCGGTTTTGTTTCAACATTCCAGCCGGAACGCATGTAACTCCTTTTTTAAACAAACATAATTTAATAAAAATGAAAGCTCGTCGGAACATACATATGGCCTGTCTATTGTTCAACATCGTCAGAGCTAAAGCGCCGTTGTATCTGTATGATAAATTAACATGGACTCGGGGTTCTGAGGAGGGTCGTCGTAGACAGTGTACTAAGCAACTTTCATATCAGAAGCACAAAACAGCACCATTTACAGGAAGCTTTCGTTACGCAGCAACAAAATGCTGGAATAACATCCCACCGCCTTTGAAAAACTGTTCCTCTGTATTCACACTGAAGAGTAGACGAGATTTATATTTGGAAATCCAAAAGAAATGTGAAAATTTGCGTATGAAAACGTAAAATTGTACGCTGCACTGCCAAATATTTATGATACGTCTTTTTTTTTTGTGGGTTGTTGTTGTTCTAGTGGATACTGACTTATTATATTATTAATTACATATTATAATTTAAATTATATTTTTTAACATTAATTATTATTTTATTAATTTAAAATGAATTGTTATTTAATTAAATATATATTAATATTTTGATATTCGTGCGTACCTTGTCACCTTAGGGTTTCAGCTGAAAATCAGCGTTAGGTACTGTTGTGCCTAACATTATGCTGAGCTGATGGCCCATTTGGCACCTAACTTATTATAAAACTTGTATTTTTTTTTTCTACTTACATTGTGTTTTATTTTGTTATTATTATCATCATTTTTAACTTTCTTTGTAATCTATATAGGTGTCAATAAAAGATTATTCTATTCTATTCTAATTAACATGACAACTGACTCGAAACTCCATACTACTTGCCCTACGCCGCACGACCCTCGTTGACGTGTCTTTGTTATTTAGATTTAACATTAACATTACACCGCGTGCGACCGCCTAAATCTAGCTCAACATACTAGCGAATACACAACACAAACTAAATGAAAAAAAACGGCTAAGCTAAATATAGCTTTAAATAAAAATTACATAAACATGAACACCAGTAAAAATTTAATTATATATTATAACGATATTTCGTTTAATTTTACTACTTTTAATGGCCTGTGATATATAAATGACTAAGTTGGAAACATTGCTGTCTAGAAATCATCATTCTTTATAATTCGTTCGTCGTTATTAAAGTACATATTGTACTGTTCTGTTAGGTTATTATATATTTGTTCATTCACTTATGGTGTGTACAATAAAGAGTATTTCATTCATTCATTCATATTGAATTAGTAGAATGTAACTAAATACCGCTAAGATGTCGTATCTTATAGCTAGAGTTACAGCTAGAGGAGTCCAAGTGGACTAGATTAACGTTCGTGTAAAGTACAACGTGCAAAATACTATATTTTATAATGAGCTACGAATTCTATGAGTCTGTACTGAACGATTATTTGTACAATTTGTACCATATATGTATTTTCAATGCAGTTGCTCATAGAGCGCAATTTTTTTAATCCATTGTAAATACCGAAAGCGAGTCTTTAAACACATGTTAAATAAAAATATACTGAAATCCTTCACTACACACGTGCTTAAAAGATTTTTTTTATTTTTTTTTAGGCCGAGCACCAACGAAATTTAAAAAAAATTGATGAAAATATGTCAAACTTTAGAGGCAAAAGTATTTCAAGGAGCCTAGAACGAATATTTTCAAATAAAAATGTATGACACGAAAACATGTTCAAATATCACGTTTAATTTTAACAGACAATTTTTACCGTTAATACATACTTAGTTTTATTAACCTATATATTTGTTTTATTTCCTCGCAAAAAGCATTGAAAAATGTTTTAAGAAACTTGAGCGTAAAAGGTTTTTCGAATTCGTGCCAATTTGGCCCTTATTCGTAAAACCTTACTTTCCGCTCTCGTATCTTAAATAACTATTGTTATTAGCAATATCAATCTGTATACTATACTTTTATTATTGCTGTTACATTAACAAACTTACCAATTTTTCCAGATTTTAGCTCCTCGTCCTTTCTTTTCTGTTCTTCTAACTTTTCAGCTCGCATTTTCAACCAATCAGCTTTATACTCTCTGCAATAAAGTCTAAGTATGTATATCTCACAAAAAGGGCAGGAGACAATAAACTAGGCATATCTATTGCTATAAAAACGTTTTATCAATTTATCGATAAAATATGTTTATATGCTTTTAAGTTTTTGTTTTATTGTTTGCATACTCTCAGTTTTTGTAGTTTGCTCAATTATAATAAGTTACTAAATTTAAAAAAGTCGAATTAAAAGACAAAGAAGCCTTTTTGAAAATTAAAATAAATTAATATTGTTATTACAATTTAAGTTACTGATGCATACTTCTCATATTCGACAGCAGCTTCATCAACTAATTTGAAGAACTCGTCTACTCCCTGAAATCATATGATTTAATTTGATTTTTTTTTCAGTTATTTAATTTGTTTGTTAGAAATAATAAAAAGTTTTCAGTAAAACAATGTACACAATTTAATTCAAAGGTAATTAAAATTTCCAATCCAACTCTAGTTAAAATCAATACGTTGATTCTTAAAGATATCAAATATCATTCAATTTGCTATTATTATAAATATCTGGAAAATTGTAGCTCGGTGGCGTAGTGGATTAGCGCCGCGGCCCGTGATCGTAGTCGTTAAGCAACTTTCGCAAGGGTCTGTCACGGGATGGGTGACCAAAAAATTATTATCTCGAGCTACTCCGTGCTTCGGAAGGCACGTTAAGCCGTTGGTCCCGGCTGTATTTGCAGTCGTTAATAACCTCCAATCCGCATTGGGCCAGCGTGGAGGGTCATGGCCCATCCTCCTTAATCATTCATAAGGAAGGCCTGAGCCCCTGCAGTGGGGACGTAAAAGGGCTGATGATGATGATGATGATGATGATGATAAATACATATGAAAATTCCATTTAGATGTCATAAGAAGAAAACAAGGAATATTAGAAAAACATTTAGGATGGGCAAAAAAATGAGCTAAAGATATTAATTGATATCACTCACAGCGCCAGTATGCGCGCTGACGCCACAGCATCTCAGATCTGCATAAAAAGTATCCAGTGCCAGTGCCATGGATCGAGTCAGGTTGCCAATATATGTGTTACCTCCCTCGCCGTCCCCTTCCGCGTCTAGGGCTTCTTGGAACGACTCAAAGTCCCTCATCCATTCTACAGCATAGGAATTATCTACTACGTCAGTCTGCAAAAGAATCGGTAATCACTTTGAGGTATAATCGAGTGGAGGCTAATAGATAAAATGTTACTTTTTCAATGAACACTTCCTAAGAGTCCATGGCTAATAGAACTACATAGAGCCGTTGCATCTAATTTAAAACTATCAGTGCTATTAATAAACAAGGTTAAGCATGGGAGTCAAATTACACTTAAATTGAACTTTTAGGATTAATTCAAATTCATATGATACAGAGAATAAGCAAATCTAGTACCTTCTAGAACTCCTACTAGGTTAACCTTTACTAAGTCTGTTTAATAATATGAAATTTGACTAATACAGTCTCAGCATAAACTCCATGCTAAACCTTGTTTAATAATAACACTGTATAAACATATCTTTTAATTGGTTTTGTATGAAAGTCCACATAAACTATATTGATTTTGTATGAAAATGTAGTCCAAATAAGCTGTAAGAAAAAAAATTAAAATCTTAGGGTTTGTCCCAGTCAAAACATATACATATTTATAAAATTATGTTGAAACAAAATAACTCGCAAGGTTACTCCTAAAATTCTCATTTTTAACCAACTTTAAAATCGAAAAGGAGGAGATTGGTCCTCTCCTTTTCCATGGTCGACAGCAATGTGTTTTTTTTTTATATATCCTACATTCTTTTATTTCTCATTATTATCCTCTTTTGATATAACGAAAATTCATAAACATGTGAGTCACTTTGTAACTTCTAAAGGCATAAATACATCGTCCTCTGTCTCTATCTCATTGCTAAGCTCAATAATATAGGCAGTCTAAATTGTTCATCTGCAATGTTATCATCACACAGGCCTGCCCTATGGATAGAATCCTATAAGGAGAATGGATCGTAACATAACCCATCAGCGCACTTACTCTTAAACAATCGCGATCTCTTGATTTGGTCACAAGCGACAAATAGGTCAATCTTACGTGGTTATTAAATGAACTAGTTGACATTGAGTGAGTATTGAGTCTCTATTTAAAGAGTATGAACTTTGAAGAAAATTGAAATCGATATTGGATTGGATTTTGGATTAAAATTAAAATAGAGATAGCATTCAAAAGTAAGCTTGCAAGTGGACCTAATATAGTTTGTAGCATATGAAGTTTCCATTAAACATTTCTTACCTTATTCATCACAACTACAAATGGTAACCTTGTCTTATACAGTATAGAACACGCGTACAACATATTAGACATGAATGTGACAGGCGACACACTGCGCACTGTGTCCATAACGTAGACCACCACTGTGGGACATGAGGAAGCCAACGCTTCCGTCACTATTGTGCCAGATGCCGACCATGTGAATACTTCAATTTGACCTAAGAACAGTAACATACAGTTGACACTGTATACACAGAAATCTTTCATGAAAATATTGTTCTTCACGTTTTATACTGTGTCCTATAGCAAAGAAAAGATATACTAGAATCAAATATATTCAGCATATAAACCGTTTAATTCTGCCAAATACAAGTAATGAAAAAAATGCAGAATACGCCGAATGCCAAATTGCAAAAGAATATTCGGCGCATATCTAATAGTAACCAACGCAAATAACTTTTGTTGTGATCAGAATTAAAATTAAAACAACACAAAATTTAATAAAACTTTAGTAAAAGCAACAAAACCTTGATGTTAAAAAAATGTAGTATTATTGAAATAAATATTATATTTTCGAACAAAGTAGCTTTTAATTACCTGGTGTATCAATAATACAATACTTGTGTTTCCTGCCCGCCTTCTCGATCAACTCTACCACTTGCCCAAACTTAGTTGAGAATAAATTTAAAGCTGTGACAATCCCACCGTTTGGTCCCAGCCCATATTGCTTCATTACTTCTTTGTAATCGACAGTATCTCTTATATCTGAAATATTTTTTTTCTTAATGAAAAATGTTTAAAAATCCTCTTTATCCCTGATTTGTTCTGTCTCAGTATAACAGGGACAAAGTGGGTTTTTTAAGCAATTCTAATTAAGAATATTTTCCAGTTTAGCATTGTGAATGCATAATGGATTTTGTTTTTCATCACCTATTTGAAAGTTAACTATTTTCTGTCTTCTTCAAACTAAATGACTCATAAAAAACTCACCTGAATCAACATCTGATGTTGTTAGTAACACAAATTATTACTAAATAAATATATAAAAAAAAACATTCTTTTCCAGACATAATTGAAAGATTACCATACAGTTCTGTTAGCTCATTTAGTTTATCAATATTCAATACTCGTATATAACATGAATTATAACAATACCTATTCTTTTTAGTTTAATTCTAAACTTTTTAGCTTTATTTAGAAAAATTGCACCTACCTATATTAGCTGGGTATGGAACTTCTCTACAAGCGGGATCCAAATTAATCAAATATGGTCTTGAACCATCTACCACTTTGCTTGCAAGTCTTTTTGTAAATGATGTCTTTCCTGCCCCAGCCATCCCTGAGTAAAATAGAAATAAAAAAATTACATGTCCATATTTTAATAAAAGTCCTGTAAATTGCTAATGAGCTGGAACCTTGTCTAAATAACACCTGTATGATGTTGTGATGAAAATCGAAAGTAGATAGCAGCAATTATCAAGAAATAAATTATTAATAAAATATTGAAAAATTTATGAATAATCACCAAAATATTGTTATAATTTTTTAATGTTTGTTTATTATTTATTAACGTTTACTTTAACAAAGTTATTTATTGAAAGAATTGTTGAAAAGGTTAATTTATATGTTTATATTGACACTGGAAAGCAAACACTTAGTAACCCTCAAAACCAAAATTGACCTTTAGAGCAGAAAACCTTTTAATTTTTTCAATAAATAATTCCTATAATCGTCCATGGTAACAAATAAGGTGTTCCTTAGTCAATTTATATGGAAATAAGATATTTTCTTATTTTCAAATATAAAGATTTTCCACTCTAAATATCAATTTTGGTTTTGCAGGTTACTACGTATTTGCTTTCCAACATCGATATTAAGATATATGAAAGACAAAAAAAATATGTAAAAATAATATTTATTTTGTAATAACGTGATAACTAGAGGAAAGGACATTTTTTAAAGCTTTGCTAAAAATAATTTCGAAATGCGAAACATTAAATACATTTATTTTTAATGACATCAGTTTTACTTATTGTGGAAATCATAATAGCAGTTGCTTCATTAGTCGAAGTAACAACTAAACACATCGATCAATCGAAAACAACAAAAGCTTAAGAAAAATAGTATGTAGTGTTGTGATCTCAATACAACCCAACTCAATAAATGCAATCATCAACCAGTGTTTATTTAGTAGCGGTACTGATTGTTGAAAACAATTACATCACCAAAACGGCGGCCAGGCGCATTAGCAATTTGCGGGGATTATAGATTATTGTTATAAACATATAAACTCACACATAACTAATCAGATGCTTTCCATCTTTTGTTAAGTTACGTACCCAAAACTATTAAGCATACAGGCTTTTTCGACTCCTCCTCCATCATTTCGGGTTTCGCCTCTTCAGAAGCCATTGAAAGAGCAGTAATGAGAGATATTTGCAACTTTCAGTAACTATTTAATTTAACCAGCGATGAAAAATCTTTAACTACCTTTTCGCAACAGATTATTTTTTGTTTTCTTATTTTCAGTTCAACTCACTCTACTTGACAAAAATTTGAGGTTATTTTGTTATGACAGATGACAGAACATGTTGTGGCTTCTATGTGTGTGTTGTGGACATGAATGACAACTCAGGTTCATTCATAGCTCATTATTAACTCGCATTATATCGATAATAAGTTAATAGTTAATACTAATATCTAATGTAATAAATAGGTTGAGGAAAAAGTTTCTTCGAATTTTATTTTTTTAATAGATTTTACTAACAATTAACAAAAGTATGTAGGTACCATTTTGTTCGATTACTTTTTGCCATCTTGTATGTAGGGACATGATTGCTATAGAAGTTTTGGAGCTTCTGATCAAACCGCGACAAAGTGGACACATAAATGAATTCGAATTCGCGTTTGGATATTAACAGAATCGCAGAGTTTAAAACTCTTAAACCAGATTTGTACTACTCTCACAGAAACTGCATTAGGTCCACAAACGTCCCAATTTTTTTTTCGCGGCTTGTGTTGCATTTTTACCTTTTTGTAACATAATTTTAAAATGTATCAAATTAAATAAAAACCCCTCCAAGCAAAAGCATTAAAAAAAAACGTACAATATTTTCTAATTTCTTAATTTGTTTCTTGTAATTTGTAGCTATCTCTAAACAGTCCATGTCCAATTTTGACCTAAAAATTTACTAACGGGTCTAGTGATATATTATCACAAAATATAGCTTATTTTTTACTTATTCATATCAAAAAAATGAAACCTTAATTAAAATAAAAACTAAATTATTTTTTTAATAGTACTATAGTATGATAACGCATCGTTTCATATAATATGAAAAAATATTCTTTCGTCATAAAGTAACAAAGTGCACATTAACAATTACATATTTAAAAGCTTTAACTTTAATGTATTAAATTTTTAAATGTACCCAATTATTTTTCATAATGAGGAAGAATTAAAAAAACTGAAAGCACTAAAAAAGTACCTTCACTAGATGGCGACTCTAGCAAAAGTTGATTTTTGCAAATTTGTAATAAATTTGACAGCGGTTATAATCTCAAAACATTATTGACAAATGAGAATTTATTAATAAAAAAAACATTAGTTACCGAAATCAAACTAGATGTCGCTACGGTACTTTCTTGTTTTCTCCATGACAGCACTTCCGGATTTCTTTCATATATATATATAAAAGTAAATTAATTTTCAAAACTCATTAAGCAACTCATTTTCTATTTGTACTTTTTCGTATTTGTATTAATATCTAAGTTTCGAACTTTGCAAATTTCAATTTTTCAATATGTTAGTTAAAAGGAACGGAAATGACTATCTGGTCCATTCATTTCATGCAAAAATCAATTTGGTAGAGTCGCCATCTAGTGAGGTGCTTTTTTTTCTTAAAATACAAATATCCCTGGCTTTCAAATGAAAAGATATTATTATATTTTAACCAAAAGCTTATTTAAATTATTCACTTAAGGTGGGAAGACACAACCTTTGAAAAAAAAAACATTTTAAAGACCAATTAATGACAAGTGCACATAATGCTTAATGAAATGAAAAAAATCTGATTCTGATATGAAAAAAAAAGAACAATTAATTAAGAAAATCAATTTATTACTTAAAAGTCAAAATACATATTTACACTATTTACATCACATTTCTCAATAAAACAGTCTATTGAGTATCTTTCTCGAGATTGAGAAACATGATTGGGTAAAGATGACCTAGTTTTGATATCCTCTTTTGGATGATGAGTCTTAAAGTGTCCGTGTATGTGGCGGGAGGTTTGCATGTCGAGGGATCGCGCCAATGAAGACCTAAACAACAAAATAAGATCCGTATATTTATCGTACATAGAAACTGGTACAGTCAGCAGCAAGTCAGGTTATACAAATCCCTCAAGTTTATTCATCATCATCATCACCAGCCCTTTTACGTCCCCACTGCAGGGGCTCAGGCCTTCCTTATGGATGGTTAAGGAGGATGGGCGATGACCCTTCACGCTGGCCCGATGCGGATTGGAGTGTAACGACTGCAAATGCAGTCGAGACCAACGGCTTAACGTGCCTTCCGAAGCACGGAGTAGCTCGAGATAATCATTTTTTGGTCACCCATCCCGTGACCGACCCTTGCGAAAGTTGCTTAACGGCTACGATCGCAAGCCGCGGCGCTTATCCACTACGCCACCGAGCTACTAAGTTTATTCACTTGATTTGTGGGCAGAGTTAAAAATCAACTAGAAGAATTTGACATACTGTGCAGTCGTGTGTACAGTACAAATATAAATGTAGAAATTTTGCTGTGCAATTAGGAATGTTAGATGCGAATTTTGTATTATTTTGCTGTTTGAAATAATTTATAAATGAAAATTAACTTGTATGGTATGGGTATAGACAGCAGTACGTTAGGGCAGAATTGCAATCTGTAACGATTCGACCTGGATAACCCCGATCAATAACGTCCCATATCCAAGGGCCTAATTAACTACTTTTAAAATCTATCGCAATTCCTTTCGATTTGACATTTGAAGTTCAAAAGACATTGCAACTTCAAAAATGATATAAATCCAAAAATCGGTTTCACAATCACTTAACCTTTTGGGAAAGGGATTGTGCTAGATTTTTAAAGGGATCATTCATTACCAAGAGCAAAATTTGAAAAGTTTGTTGTTTACTATATTCGCCAGTGCTGCCATGAATTAATAATTTAATAAAAGCAGTAGACATTAGATACCTGTTGCATCGCATGTGAACAGAGCCGGTGAAGGCACGTGGTCACGCGTATAGTTCCATAGACAATCACGTAGTACTTGCACGATCTGTAGCAACGTATGTAACAGAATAAGCTTAGTTAACTCTAACCACTATGTACAGGATGGTCGGCAGACCTATAGACAAATTGAAACGTATGATGGAGGTCATACCCAAATCCAACTTATTTAAAAATAGAAGGTACTTTGTTTTTTTTTTCAAATTTTCATTAGGCAAGACATATATATATTAAAATTATATTATTTAATTATATATTAAAAGCAGCCAAGTGAGAGTCGGACTTGCTCGAGAAGTGTTCTGTACTACCTATTATCTAATAATATTTTTAAACTCACACGATTTGTATACATTATAATTATATGCAATCGGGTCTTGTTCGTGCATTTTTTTAAACAATTAATTTACCTCGACGTTTCGGCTACGTTACAGCAGCCATGGTCACGAGGAGACTGGAGAACTGGCGGGTGTCGTCTTCTGATTTTAGTTGAGGGTAATCCGGTAATAATGTTTTTAACTGATTTTCAGATGTACCCTCCACTTGATTTTATTATACGTAAAGGTGGCGACACACTGCACTTACGGTATCCGAGAATATTGTTCGTGCGTGGTTGTTTGCGATCGCGACACTTATACATTTTTATAACCGGATTCCACGTTGGTGAGAGTTTATATCCACTTTCCCGGTTGAAATTGTTGTGTTTTTTGATTTCAACCGCTTCACGAACAATCCTTGGATAGTAATGTCGTTCAGTGGAAAGGACATGAGGTGTATGTAACTCGATCCAGTGGTTTGATCCAGATGATAATAAGTGCTCTGCAATCGCGGACTTCTCCACTTGACGATTTTTGACCGCTGCTATGTGTTCTCTTACACGTTCGGCGATAGTCCGCTTCGTTTGTCCGATATATGAACTACCGCAGCTGCAGTCAATTTTATAAACGCCAGGTTTTTGGTAAGGAATACTATCCTTTGGTGATCGCAATTGGTGTGACATTTTTGATATTTTAAAAAATTAATTGTTTTAAAAAATGCACGAACAAGACCCGATTGCATATAATTATAATACCTATTATCTATAAAAAATGCATCATCATCTGAGAAAATATCTATATATCACTATTCCTGAGACTGGTTCCTGACAGACAGACAGCGATGTTGTAGTAACAAGGTCCTGTTTCCACCATTATCCTATAATAAGGTCATTTTCAACTTTGCCTACTTAATCACAAGCGAAATATAGATATTATTGCTCAAATTAAGTGCTAAGAACCAATATTATTAACTTTATGTTATACTAGGCAAAATTGTACCCCTAATTCTTCTTTAAGTCTATCACACACCCTGTGCATCCCTCTTAAATTAGTTTTCGTACCTCGCTTGCAGTGAGCTCCGGTGCTAATTCCAACATATGACTGAGCGGATGCGGCAGAAGTTGTCCAAGAGTCATAGTAGCGAGCAGTTCCGCTAGCGCCGCCCTCTCACGGGCCATCTCTGCCGACTGGGAATGTCGATCTATCAGAACGGATGTAGATAACGTTTTATGATAGAAAAAAATTTTAGTGTATAACCGAGTAAGTCAGTAAATGTAATAAACAATTAACTGAAAAATAAAAAACTTCAAATCGAGTGAAACGGAACGTAATCCGAAACACCCATCATCGCTTTTAACAGTATTTCGGTCGTTTGCACAAACGTCCATTATGGTTTAATGACGCCTTTAAACTCTAATGAATGTCAAATTTGTAACTGTAATGTCGCTTTAAACTAATGACAATTTTAATGGACGTTTGTGCAACTGGCTGTTTACGTCGTGCCTGTTATGTTGTATAACACAATAGTTATTATCGAGTTTGTAGTAAGAGCCGATAAGAGAAGCTAGGGCTTATTTATTAGAGTGAGTTTTCGTTCATAAAAGTTGTATTATTTTGTGGAACAAAGAAATAATACGCTGCATAGGTTGTGAACAAACTATTCGATGAACTAAGCGCGGTTACGCTAACGAGTCAACTTTGCTTTTGGATTACAATTTTATATTTTTCGGTTGATTCAAAAACAACTTTGAAGAAGCATAAAAATGTTTAAAACACGTTTTAAAGAAGACAGAAGAATAGTCTTTTTCGCATAGCATGGGTACGATGACGTTTGAGATTTAAAAATTTTAGTGATGTGGTAATCAAAAATAATTGGGTATACAAAAACTCGATTTTGTTGAGTTCATTTCTAATAGAGATAATGGATTTTGATGTCAATGTATAAAACATGATTTAAGAATAATATTTATTCATCAACAACACGATTTTTATAGTTATAGTTAAACCGTTGCGACAACTATAATTAAAAATTTCCAAATGATTATCCAATATATATTTCGATAAAAAACGATATAATTAATTCAATACCTATTAAAATAAACATTCCAATTTTCATTACAAATATTGATATTTTAAACTTTACATGATTAGATTTCAAGAATTATAGCATTTAAAAATGTATTTGTGTTTTAATATGCAAATATCTAATAAATTTTTATGACGATGGATTTTAATTATTTGGAAAATCAAATTGCGTAAAATTTATTTGTTGATAAAACATCACCGGACCCGTGTTACGTAAAACGGACTGTAATGGATATAGCTCGGTGGCGTAGTGGCGTAGTGGCTAAGCGCTGCGGTCCTCGTTCGTTGTCGTTAAGCACCTTTCACAGGGGTCGGTCACGGGATGGGTGACCAAAAAATTATTATCTCGAGCTACTCCGTTCTTCGGAAGGCACGTTAAGCCGTTGGTACCGGCTGCATTTGCAGTCGTCAATACCCTCCAAGCCGCATTGGGCCTGGGTGGAGGGTCATGCCTCCTTAACCATCCATTAGGAAGGCCTGAGCCCCTGCAGTGGGGACGCAAAAGGGCTAGTGATGACGATGCAAATACCTAATAAATTTTTATGACGATGGTTTTTAATTATTTAAAACTAGCTGACCCGACAGACTTCGTCCTGTCAAAAAGATTTGTAATGTGGCAGTTTTTTTGCCTACGTATTTAAAAAAATTCTCCTGAACAGAACCGTCACCCTGGTGATAGATCATAAAAACACATTACACACAACAGCATTATAAAAGTAAACTATTCGAATTAAAAAAATATATAAACATTCTCAAGGAAAAATGCTGGAAGAATCCATCTACCTGTACCCCGGAATGGGACTCGAACCCATTCGCGATCCAGGGACTGCTCTAACCAATGAGCTATCTAGGACCCAACAGCTTTGCTACTACAGAGCGTATTTTCATCAATGTTCCGGCAATACATGTAATGACGTGGAAACTGATGCATTTTATCACGCGTGCCGAAACTAATACAAAGGAAACGCGAGTTTCGGAACGCGACATTAAACTCCTCCAACTATGTATTCTATGCTCCAACGCACACACGCACATTGTTTTGATAGATATGATCTTTGACGTTAGGAACACACCTACATTGCTTAGACAACAGTGAGTGCTTGTAATTTAATATGAACTTTATACCATAGCAATAAAGCTCAAATTGACTACGTTTTAGTTACAAATCATTTGTATGGGAAAAAGAAAAGGGCTATTTTTAGGGTTTTTCCAGCAATAATTCTAATTTTTCTCGCCGTAAAAACCATCCTTGAACTTCAACGAACATTTTAAAAAAAGATTTGGCCAAATTGGTCGAGGCTCTGTTGAGTTATGCGCTTACCAACACATTTTGCGATTCATTTTTATATATATAGATGGCGTAAAATGTATTTGTTGTCAATGTACAATGTACCCGTGTTACGTGCTACGCATGCTATATACACAGGGCGGTGTTACCGAGCAGCGCGCGGTGGCGGTGCAGCAGCGTGGCGGCGGCGGCGCGCAGCAGTGCGGAGGCGAGGCACAGCGCGGGGCGCGCGCCCGCCGCCCGCCGCAGCGCCGCGCGCGCCACCGCGCACCCCTCCAGCGCGCCGCGCATGTACAACTCGCGCTCGATGCTCACTTGCTGCCGGTGCACGAACGTAGGACATGTCATTTTATAATCCCGCATAAAATTCGTGAATCGAACCCGATATTAACATTCAATTAGACAGCACAAAACGAGAAAGAAAAGAAGCACGAGAATGAAGGATATATTGATTACACACAGAATAAATTGAATTACATGAAAAGAATTTTAAAAATTTGCAAATTATTAATTATTAGCCAAATGACGGTCATGCGCAAGCAAAGCTATATGCAAAGTAGTTCTTGTTCAGCCGACGGCGCGACGACGCGAGCGGGCACGCATCATCACCAAGCGAGCGCGTGCGACAAGGATGTGCATACGCCCGGCGATCGACGTAATGCGTGACGTCAGTCATCGCCGCTGGTCCAAAGCGCATAAGTGAAGCGTTTTTGGTTTAAATTGTAAGGCGGTTGCCCAAGTATAAAATTGGGGCGTATAGCTCGTCACAACGAACGTCGAACATTACACGGTCACGAGCACAATTCATTGAATCGTTCGTCTCGCGTCGTCGAGCGCTCATTTTCTACTGATTTATTGTTCGACATAACCACTCGTCGCTTAGCGAACGTCGCATGCGAGTAATATAATAAACGTCAAAACAATGTCGTTGAAATAAATGAATAAATGACGTTTGTGGCCGTTCTGTTTACATTGACACCTTTTTGTTTGTAAATATGGCGACAAAATATTTTAAAAACTATACGAAGAATAAAAATCCGTACATATTTCGAATCACGTTGGCCACTATTCAGACGAAAAATTAATAAAAACTAAAAAACGGCGTCATGCGCCTTTGAAGTCAAACGTGACTTAGGTCGTGTACGACGAGATTTTAAACGTATTCGATATACATAGATCGCGTACGTATGACATTTTATTTTGTAAAATGATAAATTCATCAGCTCGTTTGGCTCCTTAACAGTTGTAGTAATAAATTATATTACACTATTTTTTGTTTTAAGTCAATTGTAATTTATTTATTCTCACAAAATTAACTTGCTATTTATAATTTGTGGATTACGAGAAACGCGGGCGGCCACGATGAAACGCAATGCTGTTGACGCATGATGTCACATTTCAATCAAATAAACGTCAACTTCTTTTTTATAAGTGCGACGCGTGACATGACAACTCGGCTCGAAATGTCACGCGAATTATTGTTTTCGCAGGACAATTTAAATTAATTAATACGAATAGGCTTTTCCTTTTTTTAGTACCACTTTAGAAAAATAAATTAGATAATGGTTTAATAAAATAATTTGAAATTTAAAAATTCCAAAAACAATAAAGTACCTAATTAGACAGTCGACCCAGCCCAGTGGATAAGATTCCAAAATCGAGGTCATATAAACAAATTCTTACCTTAGTGAAATCTTCGTCTGGCCACGGCAAACCGTTGTACATGACATCTGGCGATACCAACTCGACCAAAAGCAATGATACTGATGTCGCACCTTCGACTACACCGCTGTTACCATCCTAGTGTACAATCAAATTAAAAATAAAATGCCAATCACCGCTTCCCAGGAACTTAAATACAGCCACGAGTCGAATTTCCGAACATTGATCGACCAAACCAGATTCATGCGTGCCCAGATTTGGTTAGGCAAACGAAAATTGAAGAATTTTTTTCTGTTTTCATTCACTTATGGATATTTGTCCATATACATACATATATGACCGAATCGATGGTTAGGATAAAGTTGTTAGACGATTCAAAAATTCTTATAATGACTTTATTTGAATAACGATTATTTTGGCTTAAACTTTTATTCAATATAGTACAATAGGGACGATGACTAATTTTTATGAGTTTTTCCAACATGTAGATTATTGAATAATATTAAACGCATATTATTTTTTTCCACAATCGATAAATTACGGCGATATAGAGTTGAAATGGCGGATGACGTCACGCTTTTGTAAACTTTCTACAAAACTGTGACGTAGCAAGCCCGCACTTCTCAACTAAGCCATTTCTTGTTTAAATTGAAGCCAAAAAAGATCGTTCAATTATTTGACTGACGGACTAAATAAATTCTTTTTTTTTTACTCAGTCGTCATCCCTTTTATCCCCCAAATCAGTTCGGATAATCGACGATCTATTGTAAACAAACATCTCGATAAAGAATTTTGACATGTCTTTATTATTAAATGTTAAAGTATAAATAAAAAAGTGACTACACTGAGAAGTCATTTCATGTCCAGATTAATCTTACGTTAACAACTCTCAAATTTTCCTTACGTAACAAAATATCTACTTTGGTAATAAAAAATATTCAAAATAGTTATAATTTAGACCTTACCATACAGGACATAAGGGCGGCCATCAGCAACTCATTATTGGTAGTGAGAATTGGTGGGATTCCGTTGCCATTATCTGTGCCGTTTTGTTTCCTCACTCCTTTACCGATGATACCAGCATGAAACACTGACGTGTGACTCTGAGTCAGCTGTGTGATTGGACCCTAAACAATCATATTTAGATAACGTACCTATAAATATATCATATATATCCATGCAACTAGCGTAAATAGGAAATATGCATATTTTTTATCGCATCTATACAAGCTGTCAAATTCAAGTTCAAGTTTGAATAATGTTGATTGATTTCAAATCATGAAGTAAGATCCGATAGCAATAACTTAAATTAATTAAATAATTAAATAGTTTAGTTTGCTTTCAAAATTGAAAGCAAACTAAACTATTTCGAATCGAATATAATATAATAAATGAATAAAGTAGCGACACGTATCCGTGCTATAGCAGCAATAATATGTCTTTCTTTCTAGCATTTATGATAAAAGTAACAAAAATTAATATAGTTATTCTAAACACTGAAATATATTTAATATAATTATTTGTAATATTAAAATTGACTATATATATATTATATTTTATTATTACAAGAAAACTACAAATGACGCAAATGTCATATGATGCTTGTTCAGACTGTTTGTACTTCTTCTTCTTCTTCTTTTTTAATTCATAGCCTATTTGCGTTTACACAATTCCGCCAATGTCACGTTTGTGGTCTTTACACGTAAAGAATCAATAATAGAAATACCTATGACAATTTTGAATTTGGGATAATAGATAAAACAATAAAAAAAGCTCTGAGCGATTAGTGGAAGAAATGTTGACAGTTGACATCTATCAAAAATTGTATTGTGAAAGCAAACCTATGGAAAATAAATTTTATGAAATTAAAAGGAATTTCATTATTTGGCACAAACAAAATGGTCCTTTCTGCGTCGGATAATGGTGAACTATTTGTCACAGGATGTAGTAGGAGGACTTGGTAACGATTGCCTGTTACGATTGTACTGTCGGTTGGATGTGGTTTTTTATAGAATCGGTTGGTGGTTGGATCTCGGAGTCTGGTAACTAAAGGATGGTAAATGGAAATTGACCAAGCAGTCGGTGCTGTAACAGTTCAGCAGCAACTCTTTTACGGTATTTTATTGTGAGTAAAATCAGTGATACATAATGAAGCTGTCAACGAACATTATAGTGTATAGTGAACTTTTTTCGTATACTTTATTTGTTTGTTCTTTTCGTTAGTACTTTTGTTAATTTTATTTATAAATAAGTAGCCTATTTGCAATAGTAACTGTCAACGGATAAGTATATATAAAATGTCAACATGTGATGCTATATCAACTACAGAAAGTAAAACAATAGAATCCCTTGTCAATTGGTAAAATGATTTGTTAAGGTTAAGAAGATTACCTAATAAATTTGTAAATAGTTCGAAAGATAGTTTGACTAAAGAATATGTACAGGGGAAACTTGCAGTAACAAAAAGTTATTGCACAAACAATGCTTAAACCCAATTTTTATTATTACACTTTTTTCGTATGACATATTTAGTTAAATAAGTCGACAATATGTTTATCGAGGAGGTCTATAGCGAAACGGATGGTGCGTTTGACAGCAATTGCGGATATAAAGAAACAATCACAACTGCCGATCATCTGATGAAGGATCAAAAATTGATTATCTAGCTTCGTCCTTGTTTCGAAATGCAAGTTAAGCTATTAGACGACGCTTTGCAGTCGTTCTCACCCAGCAATCCGCACTGGAACTTTAGTAATAAAGAAAATAATAGACACTCACGTGCTTCTGATTCAAATGTATCAACAATTCTTCGTTAGCCCAGTCTTTATTCGATGTGACCGTGTTAGCCACCACAGAGCGGCTGCCGAAAGCTTTCTCTTCTCTAAACATCGCTGTCTCGAGCAGATCGCGTAAAGCCACGGCGCGAGCTAGTTTACTATGAATGCAGAGCTTACGCAAGAGGCGGCAAGCTGTTTGCACACCCCGAAGTTTGTCCATTATGTCTGAGAAAATATGAACTAAATTGTTATACGTAATTTTGGTTTAATTTCATTTGTTTTAAGAAACCATAATCCATAATAGTACTTTAAATAGCAAAAGATTTTTTTTCCGGAACTTTGGTAGAATATGTATAAAAATTGAAGTAAGAGCTTCAAAAAATGTACAGATATCACAGAACAAAATTGAACCCATTGGCAATTGATTAAACAGTATAGAAGGGTAAATAAATTTTAATAGGTTTAATAACTTGTTTCTGGATTGACTAACAATAATATTACTACCAACACAAACAATATTCAGTTGAATCCGGTAATACTTTCCGGAATAACGTCTTATCCATGTTATTCTTTCTATTGGTATTTATGATATAAGCACCAAAAATCACTAATCCGACGACTCCGTTTATTGTAAAAACATCTATACCAGGCTATGTTACTATGTATAAGTATTACTCGTTTTGCGAGTATGTATACTATGCGATATATGGTTTCTTCCAAATTATAACATTTAAATAGTATACAGAAAAACTACAAACTATCGTTTGATTGAATATTTTGATGTTTATAAACTGAAAAATAATTATTTACCTTTTTCATGTAAACATCTGAAGAAATATTTGACCGTCGCTTGCACAACTTTCAAGATGACCTCCACACTAGGGGGTGGAGCCTTAGTCCCTGACATGTCCACTCTATCCAGCACCTAAATCAATGTTAAACTTCTTTAAGCAAATTAAGTTTAAAATTCCAATAAACAAACTCGTAAATATATATATTCCTATTTATATGTGACATATAACGCTATGCCTTATTGACAAAATTGTTTAGTTGGTGTTGTAAGTAGAAGTAGAATTAAGTGGTGTTGTAACCAGAATTAGACCTAATGTGGTATTTGTATCCAAATATTTCAACTATACTATCATTAATTAAAATATATATGTACATATTATAAACAATATACCTACTGACATTATGAAACGTATCGGTTTGTTAATAGCAGAAATATATGGAATATGATATCCTTTGTGATATACCTGGGGGAAATACTCAATATCTACTAAATACATGAACTGACTGATTATGGCTGGTATACACATATTAAGTTAATAAGTAAATAAAATAATTGTATAATAGCTGATTAACACATATTATGTTACAAAGTCGAAATAATATTTATTCAAATAGACTTCTTAAAAGTACTTTTGAATCGTCCTACATTTTTTTCCCTACCACTCGTGACGGACGTTTTTTGGCTGATAAGAAGAACGAGCAAGAAACCTCACCAGCTCTAATAGGAGTAGGTAATGACATTTACAAATACCATGTCATAACCGGATCAATACATTATAAATAGAGAGAGAGAAGAAAAAAACGATGGTCTTGATAATGATAACATAATCATTTAATAATAATGGAAGCAAGATAATTTTTGATATTATAACGAGTTAAGAAGTAATTACAATCATTTGCAATTTAGTTAACTACTTAACACATGAAAACGGGCCATTAAAATAAAAGTACAAATACCTCAGCGAGTGCGTGACAGGTGGGCATTTCATCTAGTGACGCCATAGTGCATTCAGGACGGACGCGCAATAAGGACGCGTACTCTTGGAGAGCGCCGCCAATACGGTATAGACTAGCTTCAACAGCCCGACCGATCGGACGAGTCCGTAAATGTCCGACGCGGTTGGAATTCTCCCATCTTAAATATATCAATTAATTGGTGATTTAAATGCCGCAGCTGCTTAAAATAGGTTAAAAGAGTCGTTCAATTGAATTGCGCGAAATAGGGGTGTTGACAACTTTTTTTTATATTTTTATTTAATAGATATACATGAAACATATCTAATATAAAGTATTCAAAAATTTAATTCATATAATAAGTCAAGATCTAAAAATAAATTAAATTTTCTAAATTTCCCACGTAATCGCCACTTCATGGTGTCGCTATGAAGTCACGACGCTCTCAACCAAATATCGTTCTATGTATGCATAAGGTTGAAGTTCTGATATGAGTAAGAGGTTCGTGACGTCATGCGCTGTTTGCGATCGCGTTACAATGAGCGTATAATATTAATTTATTCATAATAAATTTAAACAATATTATAAATATAATAAGCATAAAAGTTTTATTATCGGCAATAGTATATTAAACACTACCAGGAAAAAAATGCATTAATTTTCGTTAACTGTTACACCCGTATTGCACTGCTAAGTCCGGGGCGAGATGAGGCTTAGCCAACTGATAATACACGGGACATAGATATTCACACTACCATGTTTATTTTACTTATAATATTATTTAAATTAATTATGATAAAAACACTCAATTTACGCTCTAAGGAAAGGAAGGAAGATGTCAAATTTTACTTTGACATTGATACATAAAGCATAGAATGACGTTTGTTGTTATTGTTTCAGGGGACTGTGACGTCACATCGACGCCATGACAGAGGTTAGCGTTTTAGCGGGAACTTTGAACATGAATTTTAGTTTTAGATTTTAAATTAATATAATTATGAAAGATATTTTTTAAATATATTTCAAGTATATATATAAAATAAACGTCTGCATCCGCGGAAAATTCGATGAACAAACATACATAAAAAAAACACATCGCCGTCGAACTACCTAAATACACTCATCCGTTTTGGCTTTGAAGTTATTTAAAAATAAAGTCACTCACCTAAGCAGCTTGATGATATTCAAGCAGTAATAATGTAAATACGTCTTCTGGTCCTTCGGCAAGTTATCCTCTATGAAGTATCTCTTGATCTCCGTATCAGATATCATGGCGTCTCTCAAAGCGTATTCTACGCCCGTCTTTATATAGTTCTGATGTCGTTCTGTGTCCATATTTATGTCTGGAGAATCGTTCGGTATGTGCATAGTGATTGTGCCTGATATTATTCTAACTAACATGGCGAGTGTCGCGTCGTCTCGGGAGTGCTGCAGCAAGTAGCTGATCGTGCTTACAAATTCAGATGGCAAATTGTAACCTACAAATTTCGATGAGACATTTAAATCCGTGGTTCCTTGTGGTCATATTAATTTAATTAGTTAATTTTTCCTGATCAGGGCTAATTGTCTAATTTTGACATCTATCGCAAACCCTTTCAATTGGACGTTTGAAAGGTATTCGCGAACTTCACGCTACAATTATTTTACATGTGATTGGGATAGTGTCGTGGTGTGGTTTTTTTAAAGATATTGAATGATGATAGTACCATTAATTTGACGTCAATTGAAATTGTCTTAGGTAAGCATTATACGCTAATACCTTTAAAGCTATTAAGTAATAAGAGTTGTATGCAAACTGCAATCTTTCGATGAGTTGATCTTAGTTTTTGTTGTTTCTTAATCATTCATATTGTCTATGGTATGGTCGTCGAACAAAGAAAATTTCGTAAGTTGACACTTTATAGATAGATATGTAAACATTTTATGTTTACTTTGCTGTGACAAAATTAGCTAGATGCATCAGTGCGAGCGCAATAGCAATATACATATATGCGCACGAGTAAGAGAGATATAAGAAGTTCTTTCTGTTCGCCCACAGTGTTATAACAAAAACTTATTTAAAAAAAAAAACAATACTAATTTCATTCATATATGTATTTTCTTTTTGTAGGTGCTTCGGAAAACACGTTAAGCCATTGGTCCCGGCTGCATCTGCAGTCGTTAATACCCACCAATACGCACTGGGCTGATTTGGTGAGTCATGCATGACCCATTCTCCCAATTCGATTTGATCCTATTCCATCTATAGGCCTGAGTGGGGACATAAGTAGGCAGGAGATGATGATGATATAATTGCTTACCGACTAATATGAGTACTCTGGCGAGCGAGTAACGCTCGAGCTGGTTCCCGGTCAACAGTTTCTCACGCACCAAATCAGACTCTTCAGCGGCACTCGTCAGCAAAGGTATGTTTTTGTCGGAGAACAGACTCTCATACTCCAGTTTTTGGAGAAGGTATTCTATAATGAATAAACAAGTGATAGTCTAAACTAATTAAAAAAAAATAAGTTCTAAAACAAAATCCGACTACAGCTGAATCACGCTCAATTTTACAACAACCAAAGGACAGCGTAGTCGTAAACCACTGATCATAACAAAACAAACTATAATGGCAATATAACATAATAAATAAGAAAATATATAGGGTATCCAATGAAAAGGCTTAATATTTACAAGTTAAAATGGTTCATATTTTTCTAACATAACAGAAACCTGTATTTTCACTTGTACACAAGCCTATTTATTTGAAATGTTTTCTAAACAGCTATGTTGATAATAAGCCTAAGCTTATTGTGCAACCAGCCACAGTAATTAAACATCGTGATTTCTATTTTTAATAAGGTGAGAGATTTCTAGTTAATGATTAATCAGTGATAATATAGTGAAAAAAAATGGTAATAGAAGCAGAGATAATTTTAACTGGTGAGGTACGTGAAAACACACAAATAAGTAATAAGTAGCAAGTTAAAATTTAACTCTTATTAATCAAATAAAAAAAATAGAACGGATTTCAAACTATAAAAAAGTGAAAAATAATACTTATCTCAAAAGCGACGTTTTCAAGAAAATGCTATTAAAATCGGAGGTTTACTGTAGGTTAATAATTAAATGATAGGCCACCGACTTCAATAGCATATAGCAAGCTGAAAACCGCATCAAAATCGATTCAGCTGAATGAGAAATAATCGAGCACAAACATACATACATACAAGTAAAACTGAGAACTTTTTTTTTGAAACGTGTAAACCGACCATTAGGGATTAGACGGTCGGATCCCCCCCCCCACCCCCATATAACCTTAAACCCGTGTTACGTACCCAGCAGCTGTCGGCAGTAGAGGTACGTGGGCGCGCATTGCAGCAGCAGCAGCAGGCAGCGCACGTCGGCGCGCAGCAGCAGCGCCACCAGCGCGCCGGGGCCCACGCCCTCCCACGCGCCGCTGTGGCGCTGCGCCGCGCACACCGCGCTCACGCGCTCCAGCACCGACTCGCTCACTGACATGTTCATTAGCCCGTGTGACGTCATATCGAAATACAAAGTATAGATAGCACAGAAGGCAAGAGATAAATTATTTAATAACTAGTGGACGCCCGCGACTTCGTCCGCGTGGAAGTCGGTATCCCGTGGGAGTGAGAAGTTTTCCCAGTAAAAAGTACCCTATGTGTTATTCTGATGTATAACCTATATTGCTGTAAAGTTTTATCCAAATCCGTCCAGTAGTTTTTTCGTGAAAGAGTAACAAACATCCATACATCCATACTTACAAACTTTCGCCTTTATAATATTAATAGGATTATTGAATTATTTATAAGTAATCCCCAAAATGTTGTTATAATGATTTAATAACATTTAGTATGTTCGCAATCCGCAATTGATTTTTATATATAAAGATTTGAATTGTCCCATATATTTTGAACTGCCATATCACATTTCAATAAAAATGAGTACTGGAAGGCAATATGAGTGTTTAATCTGTTTCAAGTGTGATTATAGGTTATAGTGTTTCATGCTTATTATATTTATAATATTGCTTAAATTAACTATGGGAAAACAAATATTTTATACTCGTTCTCACGTGACCGCAAACAGCGCGTGAGGTTACGTCCCTCAAACTCATATCAGAACTTAAGAGAATTCAACCTTATGCACACATAGAACGATATTAAATTCAGAGGGCCGTGGCGTTTTCGCGGAAAATTATGAAAATTAATTTTATTTTTAGATTTGAACTTATATGGATTATACTTATTTAAACACTTATTCTTGGATATATTTAATGTATATCTATAAAATAAAAATATTTAAAAAAGTTGTCTACACCCGTATAATGGAAAGTCAATAAGTGCTTCAACCCTTCATGGCACAGTTCTTGTTAAATATATCTGTCACTATTGATTTGTAAAGACGTTGCACTAATAATATTGACATTCAGGTAGATAGTACAATAGCAAAATGCAAGTAATCGGGGCTCTATTGAGATGCAATTATTACATTAAAATTAGAAGAATTGAGACCCTGGTTGCTCTCTCATCAAAGATATTGACATCTAGTTTATTGAAATGTGACATCACAACATGGGACCCTAAAAAAACAAATGTCTAAATACACTTACACGTAACTTCAATATCTTGTGTGAGTGCCTTCAGCACTATGTCCGATTTGGATGCCAAATTGAGTAAATAAGGAATCACTTCTCGCCTTTTTTCTGGTTTACTGTCTTCCTTGATCGCTTCCTGTAACAATAATATTTCCTAAAGAAAACTGCAGGCAATCTTCGTTATGAGCCATAAAAAAAAATCAACTTATTTAATGACACTGCTTAGATTAGGTTAGGGGGCCTCAATTTTCTAAAGACACTAATTGGTCCATGGCTATTATATATATATTATATTTTAGAATTTAAAAGAGAATTCCTAAAAATGTTGTCCTATGTATCATGAAATGTGCTATTTTTGAATCCTATTATCTGATGTGAAATATAGTTGCAAACTTAAAAATTTAATTAAATTTTTCTTTGTGTTGGAACGTTATCATTGTTAACCATGTGTCTATGTAATGAAATATGGAACCATAGGTTTTTATGTATATTTGTTTTATTATAATAAACACATTTCTTGTGTAATTGTTTGTTCCTAAATAATCACAACACACTCACATGGAACATATCGACAAGGGCAGCGCGGACGTGAGCCAGTGCCGGCGGATGATTGGCGAGATGAGCGAAGACGGCGCGCGCCGCGTCTGGCGGTAGCGCCAACGCACGAGGCGCCACTAACGCTGGCTCCGCACGACCCACCCATCCCACCGCCCATGAACACTGCCACGACCCTATAAATACACCAAAAGAGATGTATATGACTCCCACACATATATCATAATAATTTCCGCTGATTAAAATATTAAAAGGTTAGATATTTGTTACTCCTTCTTTTAAAATTGTCCAATCAACTGTAAGCCTTTAACTCATCATTTTAAGATGAAAATTGGTTGCAGATTTACAGTAACATATATGCAATGATTTTTATCCATTGCATTGATATAAATGCACAAATTGCAACCATTATTAGATTATTCAATAATGTCAATTTATAATTAATTTGAAGCTTTTTACTATAAAATAGGGAAACCAACTAAATGCCAAATCTGTATCACTCTCTAAACTACAATAAATTTAGATTTTAATTTAGGTTTGTTTAATTCTATGCAATAATGTTTAAACATGTGCTCAAATAAATATAATTATACTCCCATATGCTACAATAAAATAAGTATATTTCTGATATCATGATTATTCACAGAACTCAAAATGCAGTTTGACATAACTAAACTTAAGAGTCTAGTTCGCACAATAGAATTGCTAATATTATTTTTTAATATTATGTTTACCTGAAAATATACCAATGAATGTCAACATACTTAAGTCACATCTCACCTAACATCATATCAATACATTTAGCTCTCTCATCAGAATTAAGTAATGTAAGGTTTTGTGTCGTCATATCCAACAGTACTCGAACAGGTTCTGTGCTTTGTAAAGTTGCATCTAAAACAAACCATCACATGACATTCATAAAAATAAGAACATTGCAGTATTGTAAGGTTTAATGATGCTACTGTGATGAAACACATGTAGAGTAATAATTTAGTGAGATTTTTTGCCATTTGTAAATGTGATTTTGTGTGTGGACAGTACAACAGTAGGTCTTATGGATACTGACTGGGTATGAAAGTTGCCAGATGACACTGTTTCATGGTTATAGCAATGGCCTTCTAAGAAATATCACTTGATTCTATTAAAATAATAATATAAATATATAAACACAACTTACTAGGTATATTTGATTTCTTAGTAGCAATATCCATTATCAAACTAATGCACCAAGGAGCTATAAAAGGTGCCCATGACTGGCCTAAACTGCATAACTCAGGCCCAATCATACTGACACTCTCTAGAGAACCATTTGTATTGATATCAGCCTGGAAACATATTTCAATATAGTGATTTCAAAAGTCTTGCTTTTTATCCAATATGATGTTGTTATGATGTTTATGTTAGATAACGATAATGTTTGATAGATCAGATTTAAAGAAGTAAAAAATTTTATCATTCACTTTACCTCATAGTCTGATTGATTTAAGGAAACATTAACTGCATCATGAAAAACCATGGCAAAATACTCCAGCACTGCATCGCGAGCTGCAGGAAAATTCTTGAGAAGATTTATCCCGATTTTTGTTAGCTCAGGTGCATTCTGTGAACTTCTCCGTGATACACCATATATGAAATTATTCAGATCAGATGATAGAGATGTTGATTTGCTTTGAGAGTTCATTATAATAATGGGAATTGGTCAACTTCACAACTAATGTTTCCTTTGTATAGAAACTAGATACTTATCGCAAATATAATTTATTTGTTAGCACATGCTAAAACTTAACGCTTTAAAAATAGTAATACTGATGATGCTGCTGATATATTTCCGAGGTTATGTTTATATTACAGTAACTACTATAATTATAGATGTTGGATGAAGCTACTGTAGCGAACAGTCCTAATTTCAAAATTGTTTCAAAATCACTTTTAAAGTGATAGGTATATCGTTAAAAACAATAAATTGTATCAAACCAATTCCCGATGCTAATTAGGGATGTACACATATAACATACATTACTCTTTGACATATAATTTCAAATTGAACTGTCAAAAGTTATTGATAATATGATATCAGACTTATAGTTTTTTATTGTTCTAAAGTCTACGTTAACTACTTTGTAATGAATTCTACGTTTTCTCATATTTTTCTAAGTTAACTACTTTATAATGAATTTTATTAAAAATAGTGGAGCTCTGATAACTAGATTGTACGTAGTTTTAATTTTAGTTTATTTTAAAATAAATAAGTAAAGACAGAAAAATACAAATGATTCTTTTATAACAAAACACATAATGAAATACAATCAGAATTTCAATAATCATTCATGAAATGGAATTGAATATAGTAAGTAGCACGTATTATTATAACTTTCTGCAACACTATCTTCGAATAAAAGAACTTTTGTTAATTATATTCAATAGAAACCTTTATCTGCAGACTTCATTTACAGTTATCAAATTTCTATAGCTTTGCAACGCAATTTATATCTTTCAGTAAATTAAAAACTGTACTTATAATTTACCTAAGCATTTATTATTGAATTGTTTTAAAATTTATTATTTCTGTATATTTATTTTTAAATCAATGAAAAAGTAGTCATTTATTTTTTCATTAAATTTGTGATTTTCAGGAACATTCTATTATCAATTTTAAGTTGTATATTAACTTAAATAAGTGATAATAAAATGTTCCTGTTAGTTTTAGAGGAAGCAATTTGATTAAAAAATTATTATTTAACATCGAATGAATTTTGATATTAATCAAATCGATTTTGATGTGTATAGTACATCCTTAATAGCATGGAAGTGTCACGTCAGCTGTCAATGACGTCCATAGTGGTTTTTAAATAAGAGGACAAATATTTCTAGCCCATACAGCCACATCAATAAGTAAGTTAAGTTTTCAAGGTTTCATTACGTTTTGGAATTCCAACAAAGTTCTATTTTCAATTTTATGTAGATTGTGTGTTTGGTTTCAAGAACTCAGCACTAAATTTTTATTAAAACCCTAAATTAGTCACACTCAAAACTATACCAATAAATTTATACTAATACACATTACAAACAATGAAATATAATGAGGAAGTATTTAAAAAAAAAGAAAGCACTAAAAAAGCACCTCCCCTAGATGGCGACTCTAGCAAAAGTTGATTTTTGCAGGAAATGAATAGACCAAAGACAGTAATTTCCGTTCCTTCTAACTAACATATTAAAATCTGAACTGCGTTTCTGTAAAAATCCAAACCCGAATTCGAAATTATTTAGTTCGGACTGAATTCGGACAATTCACTTCAAAAAGCGGCACCCGCTCAACCTTGATTTAATAATAACGTTTCGTGGCATAAGTGAAAAGAGTTTCGAAATGACATAGGAACAGAATTTTGAGACACGTATATTTCATCAATTTTATTTTGCATTTTTATACAAAAAAAAATCAATTTAAAAACTAAAGGACGTAAATTCGAACTATTACAGAATCGCAAGGCTGAAATTTGAATAGTTCAATATCAATACAAAAACGAAAAAATACAAATAGAATATGAGTCGTTTATTGAGTTACAAAAACTCATTTACTTTAAACATAAAAGAAAACCGGAAGGGTTGTCATGGAGAAATCAAGAACAGTTTTTTAGTATGTTAGTTAAAAGGAACGAAAATGACTGTCTTTGGTCCATTCGTTTCCTGCAAAATTCAACTTTGCTAGAGTCGCCATCTAGTGGAGGTGCTTTTATAGTACTTTCGTTTTTTTTAAATACTTTCTCATTAGACGAGAACAGAAGAATTGAGAGCATATATAGAAGAAGATAATTTACGTCATATTTCACCTATGTGTTGCTTCCAGTTTAAATGTGTCTCCAAATCCAGTCCCAATTATATGTTTATAATTTATAATTACAGTAGAACCTCGATAAGTTAAAGTTCAAGGGAAACACGAAATATTTTAAGTTACAGAGGTTTTAAGTTATCAAGGGTCTATGTTAGGTACAGGTTAATATAGAGGTAGGTATGTACATCGGCTGTCCCATTTCAAAACCTAGTAAGTCTACAAAAAGTAGAAATTGTGTTTTTTTGTTAAAAGTGGTTTTCCAATAAGTCCCCACAAGATGCCAAAATGCCCTATATCAAAATTCACTTCTATCAAAAGTTATAGGGTACCCTAAACCTAGTAAGTGCTTCTAAATTTATGAAAAGTTAAGTTTTAACCATTATAAAACCTAGTATGTATATTTAACTGTTTCAAAATTCTAGTATGTGTTAGCACATACTAGGTTTTTGAAATTGTCAAATCTAGTTACTGGGTTATGAAGTGAATAAATGTATAGAAACAATATTTTGTGGTTTTCGTAAGACATTAAAATATTGAGTTACTAAGTTTTGCTAACTAAGTTTATAATAGTAGTAAAGGTAAAGATTTTCGCTGTAGTGTAGAAGTTTATCGACAAACAATTAAAAGACTTAATATTTCATTTAATATGCCAAAAGACAATAAGTGCGCGGATTGTTCATTTTTTGAAGTAAAAATTAAGAGAAATACACATAAAGGTACTGAAGTGCCAGAAGATATTTCGACTAAACAAAAAGAACATCAAAAAAAGTTAAATTAGCAATGGCACCATAGACTAGATCAGAGGTTCCCAAACTTATGTCGTCTAACTTATGCCCATTTTGAGTATTTAACTTAAACCACTATAACTTCTTGGGAGCTATATTAGCGGAAATTAAAATTTCATTCTAAAGAAGACGTAAATTTGGTACCATGGTGGAACTCGTACTCGTAAATAACACGATATTTCAATTTTTCCATATTTAATACTGGGTGACGTAAATAGAACAAATAGAAGAAAAAAAAACAAATGAATACCGCCTAATGAAACACAAACACATGTGTAAATGGCTGTATAAATTTGAATTTACTAGCTTTTGATCTGGATAAGCTGATTTTTAGCTAATATGTTAAACCAGATTAAAATCTAGTAAAAGAACTTACTAGGTTTGAAATGGTTTTGGAAGTCAATTTTTACTTAGACGTTTTATTGTTAAAATTATTTTAGCTCATATAATTTGTAGAATGAAACTTAGACAAATAATTTATATATCAAATTAACAGTTTCAAACTACTCCTTCTTGTAAATAATAATTTCTCAACAGGTGTTAAATAGTTTAAAAGAGCTACCCTAAAAAGAGTTTTTTTGCTCTCCTGTAAAATTTAGTCCAAAACAGTTACTAGGTTTTGAACTGGGACAGCCGACATATATATGTATGTACCCTTGCTCTTATTTTTACTCGAATAAGGACAGGTTTATTGCACACGTTAAATAAAAAATAAAACAACAATTAAAGGTTTACAACCAGTTGCACAAACGACCATTATCATTTTCATTACATTCAAAAGCGACATTACGCATACAAATTTGACATTAATTAGAGCGTAAAGGCGTCATTAACCCTTAATGGACGTTTGTGCAACTGACTGTTTGTCTACTTAAAAAAGTCTGTGATTTTTTTTTGTTTTAAACAATTCACAGTTTCTAAATCGATTTAAAGAATTTTTTATGTTTTTTATTTTTTACGTTAACAATTTAGCTAGTGAACACGTGCAAGCAATAAATACCGAAATCTTTTGTTATGCACACTCTTTCAAAATGAGTCATTAACAAACAATTTTATGTTATAGAGGTTGTGAAAGCATTTCTTTAAGTTACTGAGGGCCAATACAGAGATTACGTATTAAAGTTACAGAGGTTGCGTATTTTAAGTTACTGAGGTTTTAGAAACGCTCTCTGAAGTTATGAAAATTTAATATATTTATAATTATGAAAATCAATTTTTTTGCATAACAGTTAAGTCGTTTGTATTATATTATTACTGTTAAGTTTTTTATTTTTTCTTTTAATTATCTATGGGATGCCACCACAATAATGTGGCGTTTTCTCGAAATAATGGTTTTTGAGTTGTGCCACTGTACTATTCAGTGAGCGATATTATTTTATGAAGTTATAAAGGTTTTTAAGTTACCGAGGTTTGGGTTATCGAGGTTCTACTGTATTTTATATTTAAGTCAAACTTAAATATAAATTTATAATTATATTTAAGTTATATGTTAAATGTAAAGTTTTTTTGGAAAAAATGGAATAATTTTGGTTTTGGTAATATAGAGCAGTAAATTATGGTTTTATAACCAATTTGTGATTTTATACAATTAATATTTAGACTTAATAGTCTAATTTATTTTCACGTTCTGAGGCATGTCAATAAGGAATTAAGAAAACGTTTAATAATAATAATGTATACTAATGATATATTTGTTTATTGGCATTGAATAGGCTCTGAAACTATTTAACCGATTTTAAAAATTCTGTCCATTGTGGAAAGCTATACCTACGCCAAGGGAACATTTTCTTGAAACGGTTTATAGAATTTATATGGGCGAAATTGTGGAAAGACTATAGTAGGTGCTATAGATATTGTTGTCGATAGCCTTACCATGTTTTTGATATATTATTACTGGCCTCTTTAAGGAGGCTTTTATACTTGTTTTTAATTTATATTTTTTTTATTTTTTTATTTTGTCAATGTATTCTCTTGTATCTTGCTTTTGTACTTTGGTCAACATTAATCTTTTTCTGTGCTAAAAATTATATTATTAATTATCTACAGTCCTCTGTACTTGCTGTCGAT